AAAACATCTTTAGAGCAAAATATAATATGAACAAAGTAAAAAGACAAAAAAATAGCCTGGAAGAAATTGTTGCAACATATATAACAGACAAGGGGTTAATGTCCATAATATATAAAGAGCTCCTCTAAATAAATAAATAGAAGATCTCACAGAAAAATGGGCAAAGAACATGAATAAGAAATTCACAGGTAAAATACAAATGGCCAAAATACTAGTGAGAAGATTTCAATTTCATTGAAAATCAAGGAAATGCAAATTAATTCAGAAGCCAAGGGACCCAGGGATGCCCTGGTGGGATGCCTAGGAGACACTGTGGCTGTCACCTTCCCACAGTGAGGCTCTGCTTCTGATGGGTGAGATGAACTTCTTTCTCTTCTGAGACAGGTTCCACCTGTGCCCGAGGAATGGGCGCAAGCTCTGGTTCTCTTTCCTTTGGGAAGCACGACTTCCTCATTGCATGCACTCTGGGCGTCGAGGCGGGAGCTCTGGGATTTCCATAGACCTTGGATTGAAAGGGAATTTGTGAGGTCTTTCTCCTCCTTCTCTGCCTTCAGACAGGACCATCCCTCCCTCTCTCATCACATCAGCCCCTCAGGGTTTGCGACTAGGCACAGAAAGTCTATCCTAGCGTCTAGCTGCTTTGGTGTTGGCTCTGTTCCCCTGGGAAAGCACTTCTATCTGGAGGTTTGGTCCCACACACTCCAGCACCCTCATTTCAGGCCTGCAGATGCAGCTGAGCTGGGCTCTGGTCTGGACGAACTGCAGTTGGTTGTTTAAACAGGACGGGGCCAAGGGAAGCTCTGTACCTCTGGAGACTAGAGGTCAGAACCGGTTTACTGTCTGCTGCTGAGCTCTGCCCAGGGCTGGGCTGTTTTGAGCCAGGAGCAGCCCTGGCTGGGGATGGAAATCCCTGGGGTCAATGTCTGCCATGTTCCAGTCTGGGGCAAGACTCTGGGGACACCATGGAGAAGGAAGAGCATGTTACCACCTAATGTGATGGAGGAGGGGCGCCCCTCTCTGCACCCTACATCAGGATCAGCCATCTTCGGTCCACTTCTCTCATGTAGGCTGGACTTGTTTTCTCAAAGTGAGTTCCCAAGACTAAGCCTGCTTCCCAGGCCAAGTCTCACTCCATTGGCATGCAAGACACTGAGAGCCTCTGCAGAGGGACAGGGCCCAAGCATAGCTGCCATAAGGCCCTGAGGTCCAAGGGCCCCATGTCAAAGAAAGGTTGGAGAGATCTGGGATTAATCAGGTGGGCTTCCTGGGGGAGAGCAGGCAGCTGTGGATGATGGAGAAGCCCTGGGCCAGAGCATGGAGGATGTGCGGTGGGGGAGCAGGGCTGGGAGGTCCGGGCCTGTTCTGGTTGGCTGACCCCCTGGGAAATCCAGGGAGTTTCCAAGCTGAGAGCTTGGTGGTGGTGGGGGGAGGTTCAGGTGGGGAAGAACATATTTAGAGTCTTGCTAGGTGGGGAGGGCTTCTCTCCTCTTGTCTTAATCCCTCCTGGGACAGGTGTGGAGGTGGGGCAGTGTAATGCCAGGGTGTGTGTGTTTTTTCACTGGTGTTGATGTGTAAGTACATGCGCACCCCTGAGTGAGTGTGCAAGGGCTTACACTTCTGTTCTCATGCTCACGGGCCACTGTGGGTGTGCATCAAGTCTGTGGAGCTCTAACGTGCTGCTGGGTGTGTCCATGCCAGAGTCTGTGTCTAAGTGTGTGGGAGCATCTGTGTACTTGTGAGAACACTCAGGTCTGACCCTGTGAAGAGGCATCCAAGTGACTGTGTGTGCACAAATGCCTGCGACTGTGTATATGTGTGTGTTTCTATGAATGACTGGGTGTCTGAAGGGCTGTGAGCACCTATAACTTTGTGCACGACTGTTTGTGTGAGTGTGTGTAACTGTGTGTACACAGGTATTCACATCTGTGCATGTGTCTGTGACTTCTGTGTGTATCCAAGGATCTGTGGCTCTGTGTACACATGTCTGTGGGTCCCGCCCTTAAGAGTAATTCTTTTTTTTTTTTTTTTTTTTAAAGATGACCGATAAGGGGATCTTAACCCTTGACTTGGTGTTGTCAGCACCACGCTCTCCAAGTGAGCTAACCAGCCATCCCTATATAGGGATCTGAACCCGGGGCCTTGGTGTTATCAGCACCACACTCTCCTGAGTGAGCCACGGGCCGACCCAAGAGCAACTCTTCTGAATCCCTTTCACAGTCTTTCCAATCAGGTTGCTCCATCCCCTTCCCTCCCTCCTCTTCTGCACCCAGCCCCTGAGGTTGGGAGCTTATTCTTTTGGGGCCCTCAGCCTCCCTGACTCTAGTAACACCTCATGGCTCTCCCGGCCATGACTAAAGGGGCCCAGACTGGGGTGGAGGCTGCAGGGGGACACCCTCCCTAGGCTGGTACCCACCAGAACTTCACCCACCCCAGTCCTACCCCCCCGTACCCTCCACTCCTGGCTATACAGCTCTCCTCCTTCAGGAAGCAGCCTCTCCTCTGAGACTTTGGGGAGACGGGGAAGTCACGTTTGAGCCCCCAAGGGGCTTACTCTGGGGCCAAGGACCCTAACCTCTAGAGCAGCCCTGACCTGGGCCCCTGCTCCTACCTCTTAAATTTCTCTAACAAGCTCCCCTTTTCCACCCTGCCAGGTTTCTCCTCATGAGGCCTGTTAGCTCCTTGCCTGGGCCCTCTGGTTGCCATAGCTGCCTATAGGGCTGGTCCTGGCAGCAGGACAAGGGGGTAGGGAAACCCCAGGGCCTTTGAGGACAGAGACAGGGGAAAGCAGTAGGAGTTGGCTCAGAAATCTGGGCCCATCTGCTGAGCATAAGGTGACCTTAGCCCAGAGAGGCCAAGACACTGTTTCAAGCTCACACAGCACTCCACACATAGCAGTCTGGAAAGGTGCTTGGAGGGCAGTGTGTCCCTCTGGGAGCAAGAAGCTGGTCTATGCTTCTGGTACATTCATTTGCTCCTACATTCACTGTGCCAGGCCCTGTGTAGGAATTGGGGACACAGCTCCATCAGGCAGACTGTCCTCGAGTTGTTTCCAGCCTTGCTGGTCTCCAGAAGATCGTGAGTCCTAGCACTGCACACATTCAGCTGGCAGGAGACACCAAAAGCCCCTTTCTACCTTCCTAAGATCCATCAGAAAGGGGTGTGGGTGCCCAGGCAGGGAGGGTGCAGACCCCAGACCCAAGAGTGCCCCATCCACCTGCTGCAGCCTGGAGTGTGTGTGCAGGAGGGACTGAGCTGCTAGACTGCTTGTACAAACCTGACCCAGGCTGACAGGCCCTTCCTTCAAAGGCTGGCCCAGTCCGTGCTGCTTTATTGCCCAGCTAATGACGGTGATTAGGCCGACAGGTGCTGCCTGCCGCCTGTCCACCCTCCTGCCTGCTGAGGAGGGTGGTTTCTGAGCATCTCGGGGAGGCTCGGCCCCCGAGCCCTGTGAGGGCAACCACCACGGCCGACCTCTCGACCTTCAGGATGTCTGTGTCCACTTCCTCCCCCGAGAAGGCAGGGCCAGCACAGTCCTCATTCCCTGGGACTGCTGTGTGACCTCAGTCCACACCTGGCCCCCTCTGAGCAGGATTGAGGGGAAGTAGAGCTGAGAACCCTGAGAAGCACACCCACCTTTTCCCCAGCCAGGGCTGGATGGCAGGTACCTAAGCAGGGTCCAGAGGAAAGTAGTGGCTGAGGATCCTCCTTCCAGATGAGGCTGGGGCTGCTCCTTAGGGACCCGCTGCATTGTGGGTAAGCCATTGGGAAGCCCCACCATTCTGGAGCTGGCCCAGTCCCAATGGGGGGGACTGTCACCTGGGGCTTTGGGGGGTGGTCCTACTGTAGGTCTGAGTGGGAGCCGTGATTTATCACTGTGCTTCATGGGTGAGGAATGCCAGCCTGGGGGGCCGGGGTGGGGGTGGAGCCACTCACCTGAACTCTTTACTCTTCTGGATGTCTGGCATGTCCTGTCAGGATCGCTGTCCCCTGGGGACAGCCATGTTCCCCACTGTGCGGTAGCCCCCTCCCATCTGCACTCCCCATGAACTCCTAGCTCTGGGAGGACTGAGAGAAAGCCCAGCCCAGGGGGAATCCAGAATGAAATCCTTTCTGGTTTTCTGTCTTCACAGCTCAGCCCCCTTTTTTCATGTGGCCATGAGGGTGATGGTATATATCTATTTTCTCTCCCACTTCAGCAGGTGGGGACTCTAGGAAACTTCTGTCTAAATGAACTCAAGCCTTACATGACACTGTTCACAGTGAGAGAGACTTAGGATGGACACGAAGAGGAACTTCCAGCCAGGAAGGGAGGTTGAGTTTCAAAAATGGTTGATGGTATCATCATCAATGATGGGGTATCATCCTTCCCACCCCACCCCCACCTTGCCAGAGAAAGGAAAACTCTAGAGTCTGTGAGGGCAGGGAGGGTGGGGTGGGGTGGTGGAAGAGGGATAGAGGTGGGGTGGGGAGGCAGAATCTTCCAAAGTGGTCTGGTCTTGGACTCTGAAGGCCATGCCGATCTTGAGCCTGTTCCTGGATCTAACCTGCATCCTTCTTGCTGCAGGCTGCCATTTTGGGTGAGGGTCCATCTTTCTGGGCACCCAGCATGGGTCAGCCTGCCTCCTCTGGTCTGGTGAGACTGGTTTTTCCAGCCGGAGGAAGGGTCCTTGAGGAATTGGCAGGGGCAGAGGGTTTTATGTAAATGCCCAGGGAGTGCTCTGGGAACGGGGAGGCTGGTTTTCCTAAAGACACGCAGGGACTGGCAGCTTCCAATTAGCCAGGCAGGTGATGTCAGTGCTGCTTTCCTGGGTGGCTGCGCCCACTCCGATTGGCCTTGGCAGGGGTGCCCGACCATTACCTTTTCCCTTGGGTGGAAGGAGTGATGAGGGGGTGGCTGTACAGGACAGAGGCCAGGTCCCCTCCCACTGTACTCCTCAACTTAGGGCCTGAACCAAGTTGTGGACCAGCCCTGAAGAGCACCATGAAAAACCATCCCAGACTCTACTGAAAGACTTTAATGTGGCTAATATTTGAATCTTCCCGCAAACCCTGAGAGGGTGGGGAGACCTCAGTATGCTAGGCCAGTCCCAGAGGCTGTTCCCATGGCAGCTACTGGTAGGCCCTCCAGCTCTGAGTTTTAATAAATATAGTGTAAAGGGGTCTGGTCTCTAAGCTGGGGGGACAAAGACCTGGCGTGCCAAAGAGGGCATGTTGTACTGTTTGTCAACCACACAAGGGCACTGTCAAGCATACGCAGCTGGGATCAGGTGCACGCAAGCAACCACCTCAGGCATCTCAGCAAACACCATCCTCACGTACGTACACACACACACACACACACACACACACACACTTTCCTCCAACACACAGGAAACTGAGCACACACCTTCCTTACAGACACACGACATTATGTACACATGTGTCGTTCTCGCAGAGCAGCAGGAGCGGGATTGGCTCTTCCTGGGCTTGGCCAGCCTGTACCTGGCCTAGGGCCTAGGCATGGTGGAGTTGGCCTGGCTGGCCAGGCAGTGGGTTGAGGTGTTGGAGTGGGCCCAGGTGGGGAAGGTGTGCAGGTTGAAGATGGGGACGCTCCAGCTGTTGATGGCCAGTGTGATGACCAGCACCCCGATGATGTTGAGCATGAATCCAGCCCGGACCTGGTATGAGGAGAGACAGTTTGCTGAGCTGGGTTGGCACCACCTAGACCTCAGGCAGGCAGAGATGTTCAGGAGCCCTCCTGCTAGCACAACTCTCACCAGAAAGTCCTCCCTTTGGTCTACACTGCAGCGCTAGGCAGTGCCCCTGCCCCTTACTTCACTCCTAGTGGTAACAGGGAAGAGGGATGCGCCTCGTGAGCTTCCGGGGCCCTGAGCCCTGCATGTGGGTGCCTGGCACCTGGGAGCCTTCCCATATTCCTCACTCCCTACCCTCCCTTTCACATGGCCCGGGGCTGGGATCATGTCCCAACCTCCCCGGTTGTACCCCCACCCCACATGGGGCCCACTCTCTACTTAGAATCTCAGTGGCTTTAAGCTACTCTGCAGTCCACCAAGATGGAAAGCCGGGGCAGAAGGAGTGCTGAGGCATTCCGGCCTCCCTGCCACTCACCATATCAAGCACTTTGAGGCCCCCAAAAGAGAAGACGATGACGTTGGGTGTGGTGGCCACAGGCAGCATGAAGGCCAGGGAGGAGGCCAGAGTGCAGGGGATCATGACATACAGAGGATGGACGCAGATGGCCTGGGCCTGCAGGGGAGACAGTAGGACAGAGCTGATCCCTATCCTGGAGCAGGAGCATGGCCTCAGTTCTCCTGTTTCCCTTCTCTGAGTGACAACTTCTGCCCCCCAGCACACTTTGGTCATGAATCCACCATTTCTGCCAGAAGGCACTGGATGACCTGAGCAGGGCCCCTTGACCTCTCTGGAGGGGGATGAGTGTGCTGCCCTGCCCTGTGGGGCGTGGTGAGGGGAGGGGCCCATAAAACAGATCTCAAAGGGGCTCCAGGGGTGTCATCAAAGGCTGGGGGAATGCGCCTGGGGAGGAAGGGGCTGGGGACGCTCCGGGGAGCAATTTCACCCCGTCACCCCTGGAATGACCAGAACAGGGGCTGGGGTGGGGAGGTGGGTGAGGCCACTAGAGAGCCCCATTAGGATACTCAAGGGGTGACGTCACCAGGGATGGAGTGAGTCAGGGGCCAGACTGCCTTGGGCCCAAGGTAAGTCAACATCCTGGAAAAAGGTAGATGTTCAGGGGTCCTTGCCAGGAAAAGAGAAGAGGTGCAAAGACAGGTCACTCTGCCCAGCAGGTGGAACCCCTGGTGGGGGTGGGCAGGAGGGCTGCCTGGAGGAGGTGTTTCTTTAGGGCCAGCTCACCATGGAGGCCAGGATGGGCAGGAAGAGTGTGGTGGTGGCCAGGTTGCTCATGAACTCAGTGAAGATGGCAATCAGGAGGCAGAGGATGAAGGCAATGGCAGAAGGTGGCACATTCTCCAGTTGGATCAGTTTGTCCCCCAGCCAGGCTGATAGGCCCGATTGCTGTGGGCAGAGGAAGGAGGTACATGAGAGGTGGGATTCTCTGGGGCCCCAGAGTCCTCTGCTGAGGTTCTGAGAGGGTCCTGCTCCTGCCCACACCTCCCTAGTCTTCAGCATCAAAGACAGCTCTGGTGAGAGGATAGGACCCAGCTAGAACCAAGGGGTCCCCTCTTCTGCTCTTGAAGAACAGGTAGGTGTGAGGAGAAGGATCAGATGAGAAACCGGGAGAGGGGGCCAAAGGGCCTTCTTGGGAGACCTGGGGCTTGGTGGAAGTAAAAACCTTTGGCCCCATTTACTCCTGCCTTCCTGACCTCTCTGAGGAGGTGCCTGGACAATCTTAGCCCTCTCCCAGCCCCCTGCAGCCCAGTGGGTTGGGGCAGAGGGGACCTTGCTCCTGGCAGGGAAGGAAAGTAGGGGGAGGGCCCTGATAGAGGCTGGGAAGAGGCTGACAGGAGGATGGGGCCAGTCCACAGGGTCAGAAGGGCTCTGAGATCTTGCCTTGCCTTGCTTGGAATGCCAGACTGTAATGCCAGGAGCTGGGACTTACTTCATCTTGTTCAAAGCGCTTGGCTCAGTCAGTGCTCAGTGAGTGAATGCTGGATGGATGAATGAACCACAGACCCAGGAGTCCCCTGCACCAATCCCTGACCCAGGGAAGCTGTCTCCTGCCTGTGCAGTGAATGAGTTCAGGTTGAGGCCCAGGGGTGCAGTTTCAGAGATTTCTCTCTTTTGGATCCTCTGGTCCCCAGACCCTAGCTGGGTGTGATTATGGCACCCCCTGGTGGCTGCAGCAGGCAGTCCATGTCAACTCAATGCCACCTACTGGGGTGCTCAAGCCATTTTGTACTCTGTCTGGCAAGGGGTGAGGGGCTGGGGTCGGGTGGGATTAGTCGCTGAGAATGGGTCCAGTTCACCAGAGAATCCCATTTTCTATTTGACTTTGAGCACCTGACTGGGGAGGTCCCTAGGGCTTGTGTTTCTTCCTCTTCCCTCAGAGGGGACTCTCATCTGTTTCTCCAGTTGCTACAAAGGCTCTGTCCACCAGAGGGACTCCTAAGTGGGGATCAGGTCTCCCCTCTGTGAGATAGTAGCAGGATCCCTTCTCTCCCTGCCACAGGATTTCCCTCAAATAGGTTGGGAAGGGGACTGAGGGTCTCTTACCTCACTGCCCTTGGCCAGGGCAAAGCCACCACCCAGCAAGAACACGATATTCCAGGGCATCCTCTCGTTCACTGTCTTCCAGCTGAGGAGGGCAGGAGGGCCCTTCAGCTTCCTTGGGTTTTCTACTCCCCAAGTAAAGGAGGACGGGTTAACAAGAGTAGACAAACCTTCCCTCCCCTCCACTTGGGGCTTCTCTGTGCGGGTCCCTGTTGGGGCTTGATGCGTACAGGAGGGGGACCCTCAGTTCTTTTTTTTTTTAAAAGATGACCGGTAAGGGGATCTTAACCCTTGACTTGGTGTTGTCAGCACCACGCTCACCCAGTGAGCGAACCGGCCATCCCTATATGGGATCCGAACCCGGGGCTTTGGTGTTATCAGCACCGCACTCTCCCGAGTGAGCCACGGGCCGGCCCAGGACCCTCAGTTCTGAAACACCCCAACTTTGTCTGAGTCCCTATGCCCTTGGCAAGTCACCCCAGCCTCTCCAGGCTTTTTCCACTCCTGTCAAGTGTGATTGAAGGTACACTACAAGCCTGGAAACCCTTCCTTGCCTGTCCAGGTACTTACCTGGGTCCTGGGTCAGCCCTGGGATACTGGAGGGTATGAAGAACATAAGCAAGCCGATGAACATGGCCACTGTCCCATCAGACACCATGCTGGGGGGGAGTAAGGAGGGGGGTTTAGTGCCACAGGGTGGAGGGTGGTGGAGAGGATCTCCTCCCACAGACATGCCTGGTGAATCTTCCCCGCTCCTCCCCAAACAGTTAAGCCCTAGGTGAGATCCCCTCCCTATCCCTAGCAACTCTCACCTGCTCCCATCGGCATTGGGAAAGGCCAGCTCGCCCCAGCCAGGGAAAAAGCCCGGCTCCCGGGTGAACCAAAGCACCACCAGGATGACAAAAAGGACAGTGATGGCCTTTTCTGCAAAGGTCATGGGGCCCAGCAGCTTGTGCTCTGTCTGGATGATGTGGAGGGCTGCCTGCTGTTGCTCCTTTGCCTGTTCCCCAATGCCAAAGTTCTTCCGGAAGCTGCAGGCAGAGGGGTGGGGGCAGCTGCTGAGGCTCCTGCACCAGGCAGGGAGCAAGGGGCTCTGAGTGCTATAAAGGGGCACCTGCAGAGGTCATCTCAGGGCTGCTACACTAAGGTTCTGGATCCATCCGAGTTTCTGGAGGAAGGGTAGAAGACTCTCAGCGGGGTCATGACTCTTGTTTAGCAGAAGAGCCAAGTTTCCCCATGCTTTGTCCTGCTGCATCTGCTCCACTGAGCCCTTTTTCTTTAAGGGTTCTCTTGCCCAGGATGAGGAGGTCCTAGCAGCCTGGACCCCATGTCTCCTCTGACCCTGACTCATGGCTCCCCTCCTCCGACAGGCTTTCAGGAAATCCTCCCTTTCCTCTCCTACCTGCTTCTGGGTACCTCCCGCCAGCCTGAGCCCTGCCCGCATTGTCCTCAGAGGCGCAGGAGTCTGCAGCCCACTTCCTTTTGCTGCTTACTTAACTCGTGCTGACATTTAACTTTTCGCTTGGGTAAATCTCAGCTTCCTTGCTGGACTGTGAATTCCTCAAGGGCAAAGACCATGCCCCACACATCTTTGACTCTCCCATGGTGCCTGCCGCTGTGCTGATTTCTTTAACTACCACCTTGCCTTGTACCAGCCCCCAAGCTTAATCCTGCTTCCTTCATGCTTCTCAGTGATTTTTCCAAAGCACAGCAACAGTGTTTAAAAACTTTCAATGGCTCTCCACTGCCTGGGCAGGAAGGCCAAATAACAGCTCATACCCCAGTAACTCTCATACCACCATTCCCGTCCTGTAAGCATGGCAGACATCACTAATCAATCACAGACTCGATTCCAATGGAGCCTTAGCAGGGTCTCCAGTGATTTTCAACTCAGAGCTCCAAACAGTGACTACCAGTAACCTAGGGCTAAAACCTATTTACTACTTTTGGACTCAAGGACAAACTCTTCATGTGGCACACAGGATCCTCCTGCCCACTTCTCCAGCTTCATGTCCTGATACTCCTTTTTGCTCTTTATGTTTCAGCCCCACAGAACTAGAGTTCCCCCAAACACATAATGTTCTTTCTTGCCTCTGTGCTTTGGGCAAGCCGTTCCTGTTGTCTGGAATGCCTTTACCCCATTTTCTAGCTGGCTGACTTTTAGTCCTGTGAGATTCAGCTCAGACATCTGCAGGGGACTTCTGGAATCCCCACTACCCTGGGCTGAACTAGGCACTCCATCCTTTGTGCTCCCACAGCTCCTGGGCTTCCTGCTGTCATGTCCCCCACAACATATCATCACCCACCAGATGGGCCACAGGGCACAGACCGTGCCTAATGCCTTCTACTATTTTCAGTGCCTAGCACAGGGCCAGGCACACAGTAGGAGTACAACAAATGCTCTGTAACTGACCACAGTGAGTGTGTGCCCCATAAGTACTTATCAAACGACCATGGACAATCATGGGAAGGGGCCTGGCCTGGACATCAGGAGATTCCATTTTCTGCAAAGCACTGATACTCCTTAAGCCTCAGCTGGCTCATGTGCTAAATGGGTAATACTCTCCAGCCAATAATTCACTCAAATGGGAGGCCAAGTGCACAGAGGAGCCTTGGAAAGGAGAGGCCTTCTCATTGGGATGGTGATTTTATTGTTTTCCACATCTGGACTCAACTGGAAGCTCCCAGGGGTACAGGCAAGGACTTAGGTCTCTCTCCCCCACTTTGCCACTTACTTGAAGCCCAGGAAGAGGACCTGCAGCCACAGCCAGGACAGCAGCAGCAAGATGACCATGGTGGGGAAGGCAAAGCTGAACCAGGTGGCAAAGTTCACCACGTTGCCATTTTGGGGGAAGAGCCTGAAGGGGGACGTGGACTGTTGTGTCACATCGCTCTGGCACTGCCCAGCCCAATCGGCTCCCAGTGGGAGGGTAGACCCCACCCCTACGCCACTCACAAGTTGACTTGGCCTTGCAGCACCAGGTTGGGCGCGGTGCCGGTCAGTGTGGCGATGCCTCCAATACTGGCTGAGTAGCACACGGACAGGCTCAAGCCCTGGGTCATGAGGCGCTGCTTATTGCTCTGATGTGTCTTCAGCTTTGAAGCAGCAGGTGAGACAGGGAGGGCCTCCCCGTTATCTGGGAACAAGAGAGAGCCGAGGTGGGGGCAGTTGCAGGTGCAGCTCAGGGCACCTGGCTGGGGCTCCATGGCCTCCAGGGCGCCTTGTCAGTGAACGGCCCAGACCTGGGGAGGGAGGACAGAGACTGTCTCTAGGTCTAATGGGCCCAGCATTCCCCAGAGTCTCAGGCTGGCACTTCCCTGGACACCATCTAGTCCAACCTTTCTCTTGAGAGAGGGAAACTGAGGCACGGGGAAGGGAAGAGGATTATCTAAACCACACAGGAAGAAGAGAGCCTAGACCCTTGACTTCCCACCTAGACTTCAGCTCTCTTCTCGCTAGAGTGGCCAAGCATCTGGGTTTGTCCAGCACATGGGACTTGGCATTTTAAAACCAGTAAAGTCCCAGGCAACCAGAACAAGCTGGTCACTGCACTTCTTGCCTCCCTTTTCTCTCCCCAGAGACTCCAAGATGACCACCCCTGGGAATGGATGTTCCCTCCTTGAGTCCCTCCCCAAGGGCTGAGGAGTTGGGGCAGGGTCTGGCTTAATCTTTCTCACCAAGCTCGGTCATTTCCTTCTGGGGACTTGGTTCCTGGAGCTCAAAGGTGGGATTGTGGCTGCCCTCCTCGATGTCCTTGCCCATGTGCGTGTTGTGCAGCTGCTCCAGGACGGCATGTGCGATGGGCACCATCATGGCTGAGGTGGCCGTGTTGCTGATCCACATGGACAGGAAGGCCGTGACTATCATGAAGCCCAGGATCAGCCTAAGGACAGACGGATGGACACACACTGCCATGGCCACTTCCCTTCTGAGTGCCAACCCACCCTAGGCCCTCCCGTGGTGGTCTGTGGAACTCACAGGGCAGGCCGCACCCCGATGAGGAGGAGCACACAGAGGGCGATGCGCTTGTGCAGGTTCCAGTGCTCGATGGTGACAGCCACCAGCAGCCCCCCGAAGAACAGGATATTGGTGTCCGTCAGGTACTCAACGCTGACCTGGCGGTCAAGGACATGGCTGAGAGGCAGGCAGACCCTGGGATCTCCTACTGTGCCCTTGGGCTTACGGGGTGCAGTCACTGACAATCCCACACACTGGCACTCCCCCGGCTCTCGGGACCAAATGGAACGAGTCTTTGGATTATCTGCCATTGAATATTAACTAGGTTCCCCTCTTCTTGCCAAACTCATTCTTTCTCCCCTCAGGAATGACTGGGAGGTAATCTAGACTGACTCCATTCATGTTTCAAGCTGAAGACTGGGAGATAAATAATTCAGTGCTCCTTCTAGAAACTAGAGCAGTGGTTCTCAAAGTGGAGTCCCTGGGCCAGCCTCATCACCACCACCGGGAACTGGTTAGAAATGAAATGCTTAGGCCCCACCCCAGATCTACTGAATCAAAAACTCTGGGGTGGGGCCCAGCATCTGTGTTTTAACCAGCCTTCCAGTTGATTCTGATGCTCATTCGAGTTGAAGAGCCCCTGAACTAGAAGTACATAAGTTCTTCAGCTGGCTTCCAATGTCCTTTTCCTGGGTCCCCAGGCCTTCTGCCTCCCTGACCTCCAGCCCCACTTTGAACTAACTCTCAACACCAGCCCTCCCCCTTGACTTCTAGCTGAGTTCTCCCACAGTGCTCTCTCCAAGCAGAGGCAGAGACTCCTCTTCCATGAGCTTTGCCTGTGATGTGGCTTCCTTGGTCACCAGGGTCCTGGGAAAGAAACCTCCCCAGCCCATCCCGGGACCCTTTTTCCTTTGGGGGGGGGCTCACCTCAGAGGCCTCCATGATGCCCATCATGGGATACAGGATGAGGGGCAAGAAGGCAGTGACAGCAATGGGCACAGCCTCGGTGCACCAGAAGAGCGCCATGAGAATGATGGCGTAGGCGCAGTAGGCTTCCTATGGGCAATAGAGGAGTGGCAGATTTGTTGGAGAGGGCACGCCTGTGTCCCAGAGTCATGTCACCTCCTGTCCTCCAGAGAAACCAGGCCATTTCTAACAGTATGGGGAAGCCCATGGTCCTTGATTCCCAAGCCCAAGGTCCCATTTCAAAATGGAAATAAAAAACAAAGCAAAGTACTCAGTATCTTGTCTTTGACCTTGAGGAGCCCAGACATTCCTATCCAGCCACACTGGAGAGTCTGGAATTGACTGTCGGCCACCAACCAGCCCGAGGGGACTTCAGGGGGCCCAGGTGAGGATCCCAAGATGAGATGGGGATTGCCAGAGGAAGACGCAGGACCTGGGCAATGTGGACTCCTGCCGGGCACCCTGGCCTTTTCTGGCTCTTATCACATCCTATAAGGATAGATTTACTTTTGTGACTATTTAGTGTATGTTCCCTCTGCTAGTAGGTGAGCTCCATGGGATGGGGTCAGTTTTGTGGCATTCAGATCCTTGGAGCTCATGACCCAGCAAGCTTTGGAGCAAATCTCGCCCGGGAAGTTTTGCAAACGGCAGAGGGTCTCCTTCTCAGCAATGCTGGCAAGGTTGCTGCTTTACACAACTCACATCTGTAGACCAGTGAAAGGTTCCCAGTCTCTGCGTTGTATAGGGAATCGTGGGGCAACCCAGAGTCTTGTGAGTCTTTGGGTACCAGGAGCCCCTCCTTTCCCTCATGAAGCCCACAAGTCCAGAGAAACCTGACCTCAGGACTGGAAGGGGACCTGGGGCAGGAATGGAGCCCCCCCCCCCCCCC